TGATTGGTCGTGAATATGCTGCTAAGGTACGCTGGTATAAAAAGAGCCAGGTAGTGCACACTTCTCGCATTTCAACACATGTTGCTTTCAGACACACACCATAACTTTGCCTTCTGAAGTTTTTGCCTCAGAGTGACACCTATCGGAATCCCGACATCGAGCCATGAGCGAAGCATCTCTTCCGACAAACACAGTGACTACAGATTCGCCACCCGTCGATGAGTCACGACGTGAAGCTCTCTCCGAGGCCCTCATGGAGATTTTGACACAGCATCGGGACTATGATTCCGAAACTGGAAGTGAACCTTCCACATTCAGTGACGAGGCTCTACGCGACCAATTAGCCGAGTTTATTCTGCAAACAACCCGGCAGATCACAGAGCTAAAGCAACGAGTGGAAAGACTCGAAGCTTCGCAACAATAGGTGATCAACCATGTTCATACCACCATTGGGTGCTTTGCAGCGGACGGTTAAAACAACGATTGTCGTTGTTGCCAATTGTGACAGTCAGTGCACTCACTTCACATATGTTTGGTATGCAGCGATTGATGCACTCTTTCCCGCAGCATTTTGCAAAACAACCAGTTGTGTTAGCACCATGGAACAACGCACCAGATCGCGATCTCCCACGGCATCACAATGGAGATGGCATTGGGCCACTAACGGCTCTTCATGGTGGCGTGAGTACTTTATCGCATCTCAAGAGTGGATACGAAAGCATTCGGAGCAACCTGATCAGCGTCCGACATCAACGACTCCTACCCAAAAGGAGACAGTATCTACTACATCAACTCCTACATCCAACAAGAGAAAGCGGTCAAGAACTCCGTGAGCAACATTGCTGAGTTGACAATTAGATGCACATTTGCTGCCCCCGGCAGCCAACAACCACACAGCAAAGCTGTGCTGCGAACTCCATCATTCCTGATGAGGTTCAACATTAAGAGCATCATGTTGAAAGGTCATGCCGGTCGGCGAGGTTGCTCAATTGATGTCTCTGTGTACCTCTCTCTCTCTCTTCTGAAGATCAGCGTATGCACATGCCTCAATGCAGTTGTGACTCCGCAGCCATTTCTCAGAACTACAGTTGCTGAAACATATTTAGGATCGCACACAGATGGACGAGGACGACGACAGCAGCCTATGGGGATCCGAAGAGATTGATGCCTTCCTGAGGAAGGATGACACCACCACATCCTCCCATGCAGTCAGTCACACACACAAGCAAAAAACAAAGCACACAACGAGGACAAAAAAGAAGAAAGACAACAAAGACAAAAAGGACAAAACAGTCATGAAAACAAAGAAAACACGCAACATCTCACCACCATCCCAATCCACAACACAGCAACGACGCCAACATCCACATACTACAAGACGAAAGAGGACACGCTCTTCGCATTCAACATCATCAGCGTCACCTACGGCAACGTCACACATGGCTGAGGACGCACACCGGTCTCCATCTCGAGATCCTTGGTCTTCTGACTCGATTGCACCTTACGATATTGTGCATCCTACTATTCAGCACAAGCGGTCCAAAACCGCTTGTGCAAAAATGCTGGTACGTGCAGGTTTTAGGTGTCGATGCCATTTCAAGATCATGAGTGACTGTCCCAACAAACTCGCTGTTGGACCCTAATTCTCAGGACGGATTAGGGCTGCAAGATCCGCTAAGCGTGACAAAAAGCCTGCGCATGCGAGTGTCAGGACGACACCACTTTGTTGTTTTGCCAGAGCACACATCATGTCCATGTTGATTTGCATTCCTTGTTCAAGCTTTTGTCGGTTGGTAGCAGCAAAAATATGACAAAGCGAAAGGCTGCCGAGGCCGGCCTTCCATGGTACTCCATGGCAGGACAATGTTTTCGGATGACTGTTGAAATTCCACCCGACCGCATCACCAGAGACAAGCACATGTTCTTACACGTGGTGCTTTGTCTGGGTGACAACGTTCTCCAAGCTCGCAAGATCTTCTCCTACCGCATCAAGGAGATCACCGGCAGAACTCCTAAAATCCCAGCTTTCTTCTTCGAACAAAACCGTCGACGACTACATGATTGGGATTCAGTCACCACATTAGCCACGTTGATGCCGGTGCTTTTTGTTAGAACCTGTTCGGATCAGGAAATACGACAATCACCCGATCGCTATTGACAGCGAGAAAAGTGCGCCATTCACTCCTATTGCCGCGCATCAGACCTTTCACTCTACTTGAAGCATGTACGCCCCATTGGGGCTGTGTGTGTGTGAACCTCCCTAGCACATGGGAGCAGAGGGTCACTCCTACACTGTTTGCAATTTCGCTTTTCAACACAATTGGCATTGGACATTTACCAAATCAACTGTTGCAGGGGGCATGCGGCCATTACGCAAACGCATGCCAACGAAGCTATGCGTAATGGTGGATACCAGACCTGATCAGTCTGGCGTACCTGCATAAAATTGAGCTGGGGCCCCTGTGCCAGCCAGATTAGAAGGCCCCTGTGCCAAGATTAGATTTTCAATTGCCACAATTGAAGTTTGATGCGACAACAAGCAAGAACAACATGCCTCTCTTTTTCCTCTTGCACTCGTACTCTTGGCCGAATCCATCAGTGTGTGTGTGTGTGTGTGTGTGTGTGTGTGTGTGTGTGTGTGTGTGTGTGTGTGTGTGTGTGGTGTGGTGTGTGTGTGTGTGTGTGTGTGTGTGTGTGTGTGTGTGTGTGTGTGTGTGTGTGTGTGGTGTGTGTGTGTGTGTGTGTGTGGTGTGTGTGGGTGGGTGTGGTGGTGTGGTGTGTGTGTGTGGGTGTGTGTGTGTGTGTGTGGGTGTGTGTGTGTGTGTGTGTGTGTGTGTGTGTGTGTGTGTGTGTGTGTGTGTGTGTGTGTGTGTGTGTGTGTGTGTGTGTGTGTGTGTGTGTGTGTGTGTGTGTGTGTGTGTGTGTGTGTGTGTGTGTGTGTGTGTGTGTGTGTCTGTCTTTGTCTGGGCGTGTGTTTGGTTATTTGACTGTTCGTTTGCGCATGTGCGTGTGCGTGCGTGCATGTGTCTGCTCGTTTGACAGGAAGGCAGGCAGGCAGACAGTTAGTTCGGTTAGTTAGGTTAGGCAGGTTGGGTAGGTTAGGTAGGGTAGGTAGGTTAGGTTAGGCAGGTTGGGTAGGTTAGGTAGGGTAGGTAGGTCAGGTAGGGCAGGCAGGCCAGGTTGGTCCTTGGTAGGTCGGTGGTGGGTCGGTCGGTCTGTGCATAAGTCAGTTGGTCGGTTGGGTGGTTGGTTGGAAAGGTTGGTGGGTTGGTTGGTTGGGTTGGGTTGGGCTGGGCTGGATTGGGTTGGCTTGGGTTAGGGTTGCCCAGGTTGGTTGGGCGGGTGGGTGCGTGGGTTGGGTGGGGGTGGGTCGGTGGGTGGGTGGGTGGGTGGGTGGGCGGGCGGGTGGGTGGGTGGGTTTTTGCCTCCTGCATGGCTGAGTGCGCGAAGCAGGGTTACAAGTCCATAGTTGCGAATTCCAGCTCATCTCAAGCTGCCTGGCGTAAAAGGTTGAAGATGTTTACATCAGTACTGTTCTGATTACAGCCTTGCTCATGTTGGGCTATGGCTGTGTATCATGTGCATCTTGCAGTTGGGTCAGCAAAATGCCGTGAATTACTAATTAAGCAAGGTGGGTGGGTGGGTTGGTTGGTTTTGTTCACTGGTTCTGCACTTGGGTGACTTCGGTATATGTGCGCCTGTGGGTATGTGTGTAGGGGCATGTGGTGATGCATGCCTGCACAATTAAACACGTGCACGTACATAACTGCACGTCTTTGTTTGGCATTCTGCAGACGCATGTGTCTGTCTGCCTGTCTCAGTGTCTATGAAAACCTCCTATTTGAGCCACTTTTTCGAAAGCGTTGCAAAGGGCTCTTCCATGGAGGTGGATTCTGTAGGGTGGGTTGATGTTTGATGGGTGCCATGGTGTTGCATGGCAGTGTGTGAAGTCGTAAGGTTACTGTCTGGCATGATGTCGAGTTTTCGGGTAGTCTCTGAACTCATCGAGATTGCTAAAATTTATCGCCCGGGGCAGATTCGCTGCGCATCCCAAAATGTCGATGCGCGTATGGTGGCGATGTGTGCTCGGATTTGACAACCCTCCTGTCCGCCGCAAGCTCCATCACGCAAAATGTCGCTGCACGCGTGTTGCCGTGAGGATTCGTGTTCGGAATGGGACAGTGCTCTCGGTGGACGTGTGTCGGAGGTAAATTCCGAAACATGCGCTCGTTTTGGACTCGTCATGACAGGCTGAGCCATGCACTTTTTCTAGCATGTCCAGACACTGTGACACGGTGAGTGTGAGCGCTTTTTTCAGCCACGAGAATCTGGACCACCAGTACATGGGGAAACAAGGGAGAAGCGCATTTTGCTCGCCCGAAATCGCGCTGTACGCGTGGTGCCATGACGGTTCGTGCGGAGTCGTGCTGGGTCATGTCTCTGAATCCCGCCAGTACATGGTGGAAAGCATTGCGACCACGCTCCTGAATCCGTGACATGGCGGCGCGCACGGTGCCGCGACGGTTCGTTGTGCTCTGACACACCCATTCCGCTGCACCCGGCAAGTCCAAGTCCTCTGCAAATTCGCTTTTCCGAAATTCATTGTAATTCCAATACATTGGCCTCCTGTTGCCCTCGAAATGACAACCCGCTGGCTGAATGGAAGGATTGATGATGGATGAACGGATGGATGGAAGGCTGGCTGCCTGGATGGGTAGATGGATGGATGGGCGGATGGATGGATTGATGGATGGGCAAGCGGATGGATGAATGGATGGACACATGGGCAAATGGATGAAACGGTATTCGGTGTTGCCTCGCTGCTTCGAACGCACTCGGGACTCCGGTTCTCTAGCTGGTTGATTTTAGTAGGGAGCTGTCTGTCCGTTTGCACCCATTTCTGCAGCATTCAACCACCTGCATACACACAAGCACATGTTCTTGGTTGTGCAATGTACGTAAGCCTTTACGTCCCCACAGCCCAACCTTGATGCAACAAACTATACACGCTTTTCGCTTTCAATCGAAGCCGAGAAGCCCAGGGCAATGGTACCAAGATGGTAGAAGAGACCCGCCCCCACGCCCCGCAGCAGCCTGGAAGAATGGAGAGAGAGAGAGAGAGAGAGAGAGCAAGAGAGAGAGACAGAGTGAGAGAGAGAGCGAGAGCGAGAGCGAGGAGGCTGCTGGTCTTCCAAGAGGTCTGTCTCCATTCGGGAGTCCAGGTTGCTAAAGAACGTCGCACTGCTCTTTCCTGAAAACCTGTGCGCTGGTAAGCTACATCCTGCAGCCTGAATCCTGGAACTGGCACGCCGTCCAAGACCGAAGAAGCCTTTACGTGGGCTGCCGAGGAACGGGAAAGAAGGGCCGCAGCCCTTCGGCTTGGGAGAGTAGTACCAAAGAAAGACAGCATAGGTCACCACGAACGTGGCAAAGTTCTTGCTCAACTCTATAAACCTGTCGGGCTCCCACATTGCAGTTCGGGGCCAGCGGTGGTTAGTGCCGATCACGGGTCTCCCGTTCTGAGATGCCTGACTCTCCAGACAGATCCAGACAAAAACAACTGAATGATGCTTTGGAGTCCTCAGACAGAAAGTTCACAGATGAATAGTTGCGATGCGAAACGAGAGGGGCTTTCCAAGTACCGGTGCATACCAGCATAGGCACATCGATCATCTGTCCCCTGGTTGCCCTCTGAAACAAATCGGCTGAGAAACCAGACGATTCCTACAAGGTAGAACGCCAGCATGGCTTGCTGGTCCACCGTGAAAACCTCAGCTGAATCGCCCGAGCAGGGATGTGGCAGTGTCAGTGTCTGATCCTCGGAACCAAAGCCAAGCATGCATGACGGCGTTTCCAGCAGGCACGTGCGCCATCGACGGAACTTCTACCAGGTGCGGTAAGCCTGAAAGAAATCCATACTCGGGACTGATGGTTGCAACAACCAGAGGCCAAGTTGCCACACGCCGAGATGTGCCATACACGAAGTTACCCACCTCCCCAATGATTGGATGCAGTTTGCCGGGGTGGCACATCTGTTGAAGCCGCTATTTGCTTTGCAAGTGGGAAAAAAGCCGAAAGGTAGTAGTTTTTGTCACCGAGTAGTAGTAATGGTAGTCATCGTAGTCGTCGTAGTTAGTAGTAGTGGTACGTAGCAGTAGCAGTGGCCGTAGCAGTAGCGGTAGCGGCAGTAGCAGTAGCAGTAGCAGTAGCAGTAGTAGTAGTAGTAGTAGTAGTAGTAGTGGTAGTGGTAGTGGTAGTGGTAGTGGTAGTGGTAGTGGTAGTGGTAGTGGTGGTAGTAGTTGATGATGATAGTAGTAGATAGTAGTAGAAAATAATACATACTAGTAGCTAGTCGTAGTAGTAGCAGTAGTAGTAGCAGCAGAAGCTAGCAGTAGCAGTAGCGATAGCACTAGCAGTCCTAGCAGTAGTAGCAGTAGAAGCAGTAGTAGTAGTAGTAGTAGTAGTAGTAGTAGTAGTAGTAGTAGTAGTAGTAGTAGTGGTAGTAGTAGTAGTAGTAGTGGTAGTAGTGGTAGTAGTGGTAGTAGTGGTAGTAGTGGTAGTAGTGGTAGTAGTGGTAGTCGTGGTAGTAGTGGTAGTCGTGGTAGTAGTGGTAGTAGTGGTAGTAGTGGTAGTAGTGGTAGTAGTCGTAGGTAGTAGTGGTAGTAGTAGTGGTAGTAGTAGTAGTAGTAGTAGTGGTAGTCGTAGTGGTAGTCGTGGTAGTAGTGGTAGTAGTGGTAGTAGTGGTAGTAGTGGTAGTAGTGGTAGTAGTGGTAGTAGTGGTAGTAGTGGTAGTAGTGGTAGTAGTGGTAGTAGTGGTAGTAGTGGTAGTAGTGGTAGTAGTGGTAGTAGTGGTAGTAGTGGTCGTAGTGGTAGTAGTGGTAGTAGTGGTAGTAGTGGTAGTAGTGGTAGTAGTGGTAGTAGTGGTAGTAGTGGTAGTAGTGGTAGTAGTGGTAGTAGTATAGTAAGACTTCCGTGACATAACCTTCCGGTCCCGCGGCCCAACCAAAGCTCCAAAGCCAAACGCCAAACCTGGGAAATCCTCCTACGACCGAGGGACCTCGTCAAGAGAGGTCGGCACCACCTCAGCGGTGGCCAAAAGCCACATCAAGCTGCTGAGGAGGGCAAACCAAAGGACGAGCTTGAAGATTGCCTCGAAGGGGCAGGGCGGCAAGGGACGAGATCAAGTGGCTTGTTAGGGTCCGGAGGCTACCGTTGCTCGTAACACGTGCCCTGGGCACAATGAAATCTTGACCTGCCCTGATGGCCTCGAAGCACGGCGTCAGCATCATCGTTGGCATGCTGAAGACACACTCCACGGCAACCCGAACACATCCTGTCGCTTGTTTGATGCTCTGGCGGATCGCCGCGAGGCCACAAGCCATGAAGCCGAAGGTGAAGAGGAGAAGCATTCCTAGCACCTCGGAGTGCACTGCAGAAGGCAATGTCTTGTGAATACTGGCATATCAGCCGGCGACCCGAACGACTCTTGGATTCACGACCCTGACATAATTGACAGCCTACACGACGAATGTTCTCTGATTGCTTTTGGGGCACCTTGGAGATCCACTGGGCGTAGTCCGTGTCAAAAATCTTGTAAAGGCTGTTGGTGTTCTGGTAATGTGTAAGCCAGCTCCCCCACAGCTTGCTGGCGAGCAAGAAATAGATGCCGAGGGCCAGACTAGCGACCATCACAATCACAATGCTAGCTATGCTGGCCCCATAGGGCGCACACCTCGGGCTCAAAGGGAGCCAAGCATCACCAGCTCTACTTTTTCGTCCCAGCCCGGGCCTGAGTAAGAAGAGGTATAGGTAGCTGAAGACTACGGAAAGGAGCACTGCAATCACCACCGACTGCCAGGAGCGACGCAAGCTCCCCAAAGCCGCGGCTGTGCGGAAGTAGCCGTTTCCGATTGGTCCATGGCTATCAAGAAGCTCCTAGCGGCCCAGAGCTGAAACGTTTACAGAAACACGAGAGTGCTGGTTAAGCTGGTCTGATGCTGGCTCGAAGGATTCGACCTGACATACAAAAACAGAACAGAGCTCCTGTACAAGGGGCTCGTCCCCGAGGATGTGCCCCTGCTTCTCGTGAAAGCGTGGCACGCAGAACATGCCGGCAAAGGCCTGTGATGGGTATGTGTGCTTTCTCACTGTCCTCGTTTGGATGGTGATCTGCTCATCCGGGAATGATCCGCCAAGATCTTTGACATGTGCTTTCGGGTTGTCGAAGCAATGAACAGACAAGAGCTCTTGGCTGGGGCATTCAGCCATGCAAATTGGATGCTTGATATCCAAATCTGCTGCGTGGCCATGCAGGGTCTGGTTACCTTTGGGGCACCAGAAGAGCATAGGCTTATCCTCCACTGCCTTGTCCACTCCACAGAGCTGACCCTTGTAATCAAAGCCGTGAGTCAGCTTCTGGGGCTGTCCGGTCTGGAAGGCATAGAGACTAATTCCCACCATGCAGGCCACATAGCCCAAGAAGACCACTAGGCAGGGCACATCGGTGCAACTCCTGTCAACAAGGCGCCCTACGCAAGCCTTTCCGATGTCTCTCTCTCTCTCTCTCTCTCTCTCACGAGTCGGGTCTCAGCCGACAGCAGAGATGCCCTCCAACAGTGCCGAGATGTGCGGAGGTCAATGCAAGATGCAAACACGGCTCAAGCTTCAAATGCATTTCAATTGGGGGCTCTTGAAGCCTAGCCTAGACTGGTGATCAGTAAAGACAGGTGAAGGGGCCCCATGTTCTCGTCGGAGCTATAGACCCACGAAAAGTCTCCTGTTGGGCATCCCGGAGCCATCAGCAGCATGGTCATCGCTGAAATGCGTCTCAAAGTTCTTGTCACCGGCCATGGCTCGAGCCATGGCCTGTCCTTGAGACTATTGGGCCAAGCTGCGGCAGGTCGGAAAGACGTGATAAGCATGGTGACGACGGTATGGTCTTGGTGCAGCCATGGTTCCAAGGCGATCGTGTCCTATGGCTATGGTATTGTCTCCAGGGTTTGTCTTCTGTTTTCGGCGATGTCACTTCGGAGTAACTGCGTAGAGCTATCGCTAAGAGTTCAGTGCTAGCTAGCACCCTTCGTGCTGATTCCCTTAAGACTCGAACGATACCCTTAAATACCACGGCTTGTGTACTGGCTCCCGCGAATCCGCTAGCTGCAACGTTGCCAATATCATGCCCACCGCCCTTCTGAACGACAAACACGACAACTCCACACGCCTCAACTGCTTGGCCTCCAAATTGCTGTGGCCCGAAGGCCACAGACTCAAAGTGTCCTAGTGTTCGCCACAGACTCAAGTCAAGGCGCACTCTCCTCATCTCGGCAGGTGCAATGATTGTTTTAGACGTTGAGAAGCAGCTACGGCATTTGTAGGGCGTCGGGCCTTGATTTTGAAAGTCGGCACAAAACATCCGCAAGCCCTGTCTGTTTCACTCCTCAACCACACACCGCCTACATGCAGAGCTTCAGGAAAGAAACAGAAGCCTCGTGCTTCTTCAATGTCAGTGAGCGCGGCTGGCAGCTCTAGTTAGCCTGAAACACAACACTTAAGAAAGCTGCTTTCCAAGCTCCGCAGTCTACCAGATTTAGCCGTGCCTTTGCCATCCTCGGGGCCATCTATGGCCGAAAATTCGGCAGGAAAACGGTGGATAAAGCTTAGGCCGTGCACACCAACTGCTTTCAGTCGGATTGCAAGAACTTCTTCGTGAAACATTGCGGAGTACACAAGTGCCTGGGATGACCTCTAAGCTGCTCTGCAGAGAGGATGCTCTTGGCCAGGGCACCCGGGCACCCCAGGCCCGGGCTCACCGGGCTCACTTGGGAGGATACTGGCGCGCTCCGAAGATAGACGAACCCACCCGCACGGAGGTGCCTGGGCTTTGCTTCACGACGAACAGTATTCAATGGCTGCTCTCGGAGGAATTCTGCATATGAGCTTTGGGCAACGACGGGTACCTTTCTCCTGAGCCTTGTGATACAATCGAGCTAAATCTAGATGTAGAGCTCGCGATTTCTAACCAAAGTGCCATAGATCTGGGTCTGACGAAACTTGATACTCCGTGCGTGGTGTTTGATGGTGTGTCCGGTGCCACTCTTACACCTGTACAATATTGCACCACGCGCTCGGGCGGCTGGCATGTTGCGGAACACAGAATTCTGCCCGCACGAGAGGTTCCATCTCCAACTGCAACCCCTGCCCTGCTTCGATTGGAACCCTAGCACGGCGGCATGGTGGATGACTTCAACGATGTCAAGTCAGTGGGAACCTAGGCTAGATGGGTTGCTGCCCTCCAGAATGGCGTTTTCGTAGTCGGCGCTCATGCCCATGCTGAGTTCCTGAGTTGGGAAGCAAAGCCCGGTGTAACGCAACAAGTTAGCAGATGCTGAACTGTAATTACACCTGGCCCAGAGCTGAAATAAAGACTCAGCATACATATCATGATAAGTGTAAACCCGTACCCTTACATCCCGAGGATGGCCAGCTCCCCGCTAAGTCTTCGCCACCGATGTCTGTCTCTCTCTCTCTCTCTCTCTCTCTCTCTCTCTCTCTCTCTCTCTCTCTGACACTGGGCATCTGATAAGAGTGATGTCAGATCGTTATCAAGTAGATACCAACTTGCAGCACGAAGACATGCCAAGAAGATACCAACCTGTCACACGAAGACATGCGAACACTCTACCCGTGGGTTTGCGAGTCTTTGCCTGTCCGAGGACGAGCCATGCTGCGGGCCAGGACTCGTTCAATGTGAGATATATGGGTTAACCTGTACAACTCCACACATCTCCTATTTGCTACAGTTCGTGACGGCATACTGTGAACTCTGTTTTCCTCATATCCTTAGGTAGTGTCTCAGCGTCAAAGCACAATCACTGTTGCTGATGGCCGGTTGCAATATGTGCGCCCGGCATTTTGAGGCATTCAAAGCAGGGCCCCAGCAAAAGAGGCATACATGTACTGGACTGACTAGACTAGACAAAACATAAACATGGCTACAGTAGTGCACTCCTCTCAGCAACTCGGCTTTAAGCAGCGTGTCATGCTGTCTGTCAACACATGCATCCAGTCCTGCATGGAATTTACTGTCACGCGTTTTGATTTCCCCAGGCATTGCTCAGTCTTTCTCCTGTGTGCTTTCGCCCAGCTGACTCGGTCGATGCTGGATCTGCGCAAGGTTCCAAGGGAGCTGCGAAAAGGGATCTCCTTTGGCAAAGCCCTCCTGCTCGAAGAACAAACAAGATGCGGTGCATCTGACAATAATGAAGGCACCGGCACGATAGCCACGGACCTGGAAAAGAACGTATGTTATGCAAACCGAAGCTGATCCAAGTGCAGGAGCAACAACACCCACTACTTGCGTTTGGGATTCCTAGTTGAACAGAGCTCCTGTCCTACCGTTTCCATGTGGCCAAGTCGGAGCCGAAGGACATGCCAGTCCCAAGACGTGGCTGGGTCCGCGATGACAGAAAGACCATCGCGTGAGAAAATCTTGAAATTGTTGGTCGGTATCGACCCGTCGGAAAGGAACCGTCGCAAAACCAGTATAAAAGGCCTAAATTATTCAGGCCTTTATACTACTTGCCATCTTTGGCATGGCACTGAGCTCCCTCTCCTGAGCAGCTGATGACCACGAAAAACTCCATGCCAATCTTGGAGATGCAATCCAAGATGCACAGTAGGGCATCTTCCATGCCCTTCGAGATCAAGCCGAAATGCGCTCGCCCGAGCAAAACCACCACAGGATAGCCAGACCACGAGATGATCGTAAGCCACTTGAGGTACGAGAAAAGTTGCTGAACATCTGCGGGACGCTCGAGCACGGTGCCGTTAGCCACATCCACCTGTAGCGCTGTCACCATGATGACGAAGAAGAACACTGAGATGCCGAACCAAAGATTGCGCTGAAGCGACTTCTCCTTTGGCACAATCATGGCGCTCACGATGCCGCCTGTGAGCATCAGCAGATCGCAACCGATGACAAGAATGGCCGTGTGCTTCTCGGCCCCTCCGACCACACAGAGCTCGAAAAGCATCAGGGGCGTTGTCGTAATCCAGTCGATGTACCGGATGATGGGCAGCTTCCTTCCGCCGAGCTTGATCTCCCCCCTGCCTGAGATCTTCGCAAGGTATGCCAGAGCAGCAATGGCCATGACGAAAAAGGTGACGACATATGCCTCCTCGTTGATGTGCCGCGCCCAGAACACAAGCAGCACGGCCGATGCGAGTGCGAAAAGGAAAAAGACGATCCGCGAAACCCAAATGGCGAACTGGTATGTCCACCACTCATGCTGACTGCTCTGAACCTTCTGCTGTCGCTCGCGGAGGCTCTCGCTCATAGAAGTCAGCGACTTCCTCACTCCCTGTGGGACGAGATCCTTGGCGAATGAGTTCTCCCGCGACGGCTCTGGTGTTACGAGCTTGCCCTCTCGTACGGTCTCATCACGCTCCTTTTGATCCTCCTCGTCTTTCGTGGTGCTCGTGCCCAGTATGTCGGAGACGGAGATCACGTCGTCGTCTGGGCACCAATTCACTTCCTGCGCTTTGGCCATGGCGATGCAAGATGCTATGCAACGCTACGCACGACACCGAAGCTCGCAAGGCGCGAAGGAAGCTTGAGCCGTCGCCACTTTACGCTCTCACACTCGGACTCCGCCAGGCGAGGTTCGTAGGTCGACTTGGTGGAACAAAAGAGTGACTTCAACATCAAGAAGACGTGCAAGAATCTTGATTCAGCAAGGGGAGCGGCATCGACGCTCAAAATCACTTCGTGTGGATTTCACAGACGCTAAAGCCAGTCATTAAACAACCAAAGATAGCCGTCGCCACTTTAGGGTTCGGGATTTGCGATCTTTGGCAACCAGTCGCTAAAATTCACACTTTCCGGTTCAAACCATTGAAAGGCGTTTACAAATCACGATCAGCAAAGCTCTGCAAACTAGCACCAGCCCGACACATGCACCAAGGGTCCAAAGTATCTACACCACAGCCGATGGATGCTGCCGCCTCTTCACGGCACTTCATCAACGTCCTAAGCAGAGGGTCAGCGCTGTGTGAGGCTGCCTGCAGGCTTCGATATTCCTTCACCTGACCAATGCCTGCTTAGGGACTCCGGGTTTCTGTCCGGATGTTGTCCTAAAGTTGTTGGTGTCGGATCCGGCACCGATGCATGTTCTTCGTTGATGTGATGGCTGTCGTGGCTGGCCTGGTCTCCCGGGCTGTATCTGTCTGTTTATCTACCTACCTACCTCCCTCTATCTGCACCTATCCATCTGCCTATGCGTTTGTCTACCTGTCTATTTGTCTAGCTGTCTATCTATCTGTCGATCTGTCTATCTATCTGGTTACTTAGCTGCTTCACTGCGTAACTTACTTGGGTGTTTACTTGGTGCAGGTAGTTGGTGTCTGTGTGTATATTTATAGGTATATATATATATATGTACAGATGCATATACGCTATGTCTGTATGTGACCATCTGAACATCTACCTACCTATCTGACGATCTATCTGTGTACCTCAATCGATCTATCAACTACGCATCTATCTACCTAGCTATCTATTGAATTGACATACTTGCAGCGGCAAATATGGTAATGTGTAGACTCGAAGACTTCGCATACACTCGGCAGCAACGCTGTGTCTTCCATGTGCCTACCTATGCAAAGGATTCTCTAATTATATCTATGCCTGTTTGGCGAAGCTCAGCAGCACGGTGGTGCGCCCAGACCATTTGGTCGATGTGGCATACACGTGTATGGCGGCAAAACACTCCAAAACTCAGTGTGTGTGAAGGGCCTTCCCTCCATGCCCCACGCTTTTAAGAAGATTCCGCCTAGCGGCGCGAAGTCCTCTGTGCGGCAGCCGCTGTAGTCCTCCGCATGGCTTCCGGTGTTCATAACACCCAGCACTTAATACATTGAATCCATAAGCTCATTTCTCCTGCCTCCTGCCTCTAACTATATCCTGAACCCTTATGACCTCGAGCGACCAAAGCTCTTCTAGGACTTGGGGTTTAAGGAGGTTGAAACCACACTCGCTGGTCTCTCTCGGCAGCACCTGCAACCCTCAAACCGCTAGGCCCATACACTCTAGGCTTTTAGATGCAACACCCTTGGTTCGGTGTACACTGCTTTTTATGAGAAAAACACGGTTTCAATCAAAACTGTACTTGCAATTAAAAACAGTCCCCTTTTCGGTTTTGTCGGGATGCTGGGGCACCGATGGTCATCAGCCCGGCCAGCTCAAGGCCTTCACACTCCTGGCCACCGGGTCTGGCTGAGTTTACTACGGAGGCATAAAGAAAATGGCTAGTGGGGTTTATAGGGTCAGGGTTTGGGTGCTTTGTCAATACATGTGGTTTCTACATGTGCATACATGTTGATGTATAAATATATATATATATATATATACATAAACATATATATATGTAGATATATGTGTACATACACATACATACGGCATACATACATATATGTATCTTTATCCATGCGTCAGGCGGGGCATCCTTCTCCACCAGCACATGGCGAGTGCTGATTTCTAACCCACAACCCTGACCTCTGGAGCCCAAGCCCTAAACCACGAAATCCGGACTGAAGCCCCACATCATCCTTATCCAAGCCTTGGCGATAACCTTGCAGAGTTCTGCGACTTCGCTGGGCTCCAAACCATTCCTTCGGCGTTTTGTCGCACTCTCGTACTCTGCGAATGTGTGTCTGTACATACAAAAACGTGAGTGTGCATGAAAGTACACTTAGCGACCGACCCACCCACCTATCTACCCACCTACTTCAAGAATGTATGTATGCGTGCATGCAAGTATGTGCTATGTACGCATGTACATGTGCACCTCGCACTGTATGTATGTACACATGCTCGCATGTATGCATGAAGGCATGCATGCGCGTATGTATGCTGCATGTAAGCTATGTATGTAAAATGTACATGCGCACTCTAGGCTCTAACTGCAAGGCCAATGAACTTGCAGCTTCCTTTGCATCCTGCGAATGCTCGACGGTTGGGTTGGGGAAGGGCAGTACTATTCACAGTTGCCGTCCGAGTATCTTCGACTCTTCTCCGCTGGAGTTCACCTGCACCTGAGAATATGCACTGTCATGTCACTGAAAAGTGAGTTCTCCAGCCCCCAGCACTGCCGAACCTGTTTGGACTAGGATCATGCTGGGTGCAGAATTGGGTCGGAATTCAGTGACTGCAGTTTCTCCTCGGAACCCTGGCCGAAACAAGCTGCAACTTCTGCATGGTGTGGTATTGTTGGAGCCCAGGAACCATTACTCTCAGCCGTCGGTCAGGATATTGCGCCTGCCGCCGCGATGCTGCAGTTGCAATCAAGTCATGCTACATAGCATCACTCGCACAAATGACCTCGCATAACATCAGGCCCAACAGCCATAATTTAATAAGGTAAGAATGCACCCGTGAAGCGAATCAGCTATATTCAAGGTCCTTGACAGGACCGTCGCTGCTGCTGCTGCTGCTGCTGCTGCTACTACTACTACTACTACTACTACTACTACTACTACTACTACTTCTACTACTACTACTACTACTACTACTACTACTACTACGACGACATCGGCACCAACAAGAGCTTCAAGTTACAGGAGAAGGGGGGCGTTTCGCGATCATTGAGCACCCCAGGACCTCTGTGGCGTGGCGGTCAAAGGCTTTCGCTGGCGGGCACCGTGCTCTGACGGACATGTGCGCCTATGGTGATCCTTTTGGGAGGGGGGAAGGCGGCGCAGGCAAGGCACCCACCCGACTTCAGGTCACAAGCCCGAAGATGACGACGACGACCATGGCGGAGCCGGCCATGGCAATCACCACAGCTACTGATACGACGACGGCTGCGGCTACTTCTGCTACTACTACTACTGCTACTACTACTCCTCCTCCTCCTCCTGCTGCTGCTGCTGCCGCTACTTCTACGCCTGTTGCTACTGGAGCTACTACTACTGTTAGCTCTACAGATGCTGCACTGCAAGCACTAGCAAGACTACCAGTTGCAGTATCACAACTAAACTCCCAGTCGTAGTGATAGTACTAGTAACAAAAAAGATAGCTATAGCAACAGCAGCAGTGATCGTGCTACAAACAGTAAGGTTGCTGGCTGTAGTATTAATCGGAGCAGTGGCAGTCGTAATAAGAACAATAGTACTAGTAGCGCTTCTAGCAGTAGCAGTAGTCGTCCACGTCAGTACCAGTACCAGTACTAGTACTGGTACTAGTGCTACTACTACTACTACTACTACTACTACTACTACTACTACTACTACTACTACTACTACTACTACTACTACTACTACTACTACTACTACTACTACTACTACTACTAGTATGGGAATCTACGAAATCCAGAAGGGGTTCTCGTGGGTTTTGAAAGGGCTGGTCTGGAATATTGAAGGGTTTGCATCAGATATCGAACGATTCAAAAAGGATTTGAGGAAGATTGATGGGTTTTATGTGATGGTGAAGGGCTTGATCCACGTCTGCCGCTTTGACTTTGGCCTAGGTGCTTTGGACAGACGCACACAAAATATGTTTACCGTTCCTTGCTGCTTACTACTTGCCACTTACAGAAACGACTACCACCATTGCGACGACAGCTGCTATTGCTGCACTAAGAGAACTACTATTTGCTTGTGCCGGCAGTACGTGATGACAGCCACAACTTCCGGCAGCGACAAAAGGATGTCAGAAGGGCCGGCAGCGCCTTCCAGGCCTTGTCCACTGCGCGCGCCAGCTTCTCACTGTCGATCGTCCTAGCTGCCCAGACTTTGGGAACCCTCGTTTGAAGAAACAGCTATGGACTCTCGTTTCAGGTCCCCCTTATTCACGAACTCTCAGTTTAAGTGGGTCGTAGAACCTATGCAGGAGGTCTTGGGGCGGAGTAAACCTGACCACCTCCACCACACACCGAACAAATGGAAGGTCTGAAGCCCTAAATCCTCCCTGCTGCTAAGCATCTCCAGGCAAACGAGGCCTGGGCAGCCTTTGACCAACATGCCCACCTTATTGCCTCAGCAAGGCTGTGTGGACTTTGAACAAGGGCTCAAAGATGACAAGTAGCAACTGATTCTCCTTTCATGCTTGAGGAGGAGTTCGGGTCTCAGGATTTGGGCTTAAAGGCGGCACTTCATTTGAGGCTGCGTACTTTCGGGGGGAAGATATTTAAGAAATGCTGGGATTGGAGTTCGGCGGGCAGGAACTCCCAGAACAGCAGGAGTTGAGGTCAATGCATCTGACTTTCAAAACTTGCAATCGAAACAGTGGGATCTCCTGTAAGGAATCGCTCTCTCTCTCTCTCTCTCTCTCTCTCTCTCTCCCTCTCCTTCTCTCTCACGGTGGTTCGTATGAAGGGTTGCTAGTACTCAGAAAGGTCACTATCAGGGGTACGTACGATAGGGAGTACTAACCGTGCACGCCCACAGTGCATGCAGAGTGACGGTGGGGAGGCCCTTAAATTCTTGCCGAAGCTCTACAGCACCCCCCCCCCCCTTACTAAGCCCCTCTCTCTCTCTCTCTCTCTCTCTCTATCTCTCTCTCTTCTCTCTCTCTCTCTCTCTCTCTCTCTCTCTCTCTCTCTCTCTCTCTCTCTCTCTCTCTCTCTCTCTCTCTCTCTCTCTCTCTCTCTCTCTCTCTCTCTCTCTCTCTCTCTCACACACACACGGACTCAGCTACCTGTCAGCCGCGACGCAATACACAGCGGTTTCGCTCTGTGCGTGTATCTACAAGAAAATTGAATGCGGGAAATGGGACTACCGAAATGACTACAAGGACCTCACATGCATCGATGACCCTTACTAAGCCCCTAAACCCTCGAAGCCTATTGTCAGGACGTGCCTTGAAGATGTCCAATGAAGTGCCACTGGACATCTGCAGGGAGTTGCGGGCTCTTGTCCACGAGCTCCTGAAATTCTCGTGAAGCACTGGCTTGAACTCTCTGGAGTTCTATGCATACATGGGGATGGCCCCTTTTGAGGCTTGGCTGTCTCTACTCAGCAGTCTAAGGAGCCAAAGGGGCGGCTGGGTGCATGTGGGATCGGTCCTGCACGTAGTTCTCCCCGAAATGTCCTGTGCTGAGATGAGCTTGGGCTTTTGGGGTCGCAGGCTTGCGCATGCATTAGTATATATGCATGATATCGCATTCTGATGGCGCAATTCCTGTAGAACATGCAGAACTACAAAACGTCTAAGCGCAACCCTAAAGCCCTAAAGTGCCCTGAACCCCAAAGTTTAAGCCCTGTTTTGCGCCGACTCTCTCTCTCTCTCTCTCTCTCTCTCTCTCACAGGACTCGAGTCGATCATGCCGCCTGAACACTGACTGTTGCATCCAGGCCTATTGCAACTGCCTTGTACCCTGAACCCCGAAACCTCCTGAAACCTATATAAACCATCAGCCAAGGCTCTGTGCCCTGCATCGTAGGCCTCCTTCAGGTCCTCTGCAAACTTGCAGTTACGAGCGAGGGTCCCATACAAGGAGTTCCTGTCGGGGTCCGAAAGGTTTAAGGGTCCTCAGCATAAGGATCGATAGAAACGCAACGACGATAATTATGCCGTCCTCCACAGGCTTCGTCTTGCTCACCGCAACGAGCCTCACGGGAGCCTGTGCCACGTAAGCTTATGGCCATGCGTTCATCTGCCTGTGTGATCGCACGCACATCTATGCGCGGAGATACATGGATGGATGGCTGGATGGATGCATGCATGGATGGATGCATGGATGGCCGGACGGATGGATGAATAGATATATGGATGGATAGATAGTTAGATATATAGGTAGATAGGTATATATCACAACTCGACGTGAAAGTTGTCCTTCTTGGTTGAACTCTTCCTGCAAAGACTGCGCTGATGTGGTTACGACGGGTGTTAGCCGGTTCACTATGATCGCACGTCTGTGGCCCACCTCGGGGTGAATGTGAAGGAAAGTGGACGAGGACCCGCGACCATCTCACTGAACCGTCCATCCGTCCAGCCGTCCATCCGTCCATCCGATCATCCGTCCAGCCATCACTCTATCCCTCCATCCGTCCATCCGTCCATCCATGCGTCCATCCATGTGTCCATCCATGCGTCCATCCGTCCATCCATGCGTCCATCTGTCACTCCGTCCGTCCGTCCGTCGATCTACATATATGTGGGTGTCTCTATATGTGCTACATATATGTGCGTGTCTCTATATGTGTATGCACATGTATATGATTCTGTGCATGTGTGTGTGCATTTATGTATAGAAGCTGAAGCTGCAGGGTGTGTATGTCTGTATACCTGAATTCATCACTTCGAGGCTGTGGCCGTGTCATAGCACACCTCCCCTAAGATAGATGGGTTGAGGATAAAGCTTACACTGCTGAGGTTGCAAGACGTGGTATGTGCCTTGGAGTCCAGGCAAGAAGATGACTCTAGTGCTAACATGTGCTCATGTGCTGACCTGGTGCAGCCTGGAGAATCCGAAGATAGGGGCCTCAATATGTAAAATAGCGGCCAGGGGTATATCACAGTGCAGCTTTTTATTTTTTTGAGGAACCCAACGGAAACATGCGACCCTAAAGTGCAAACCATACCGAGGACCGGATCAACGCAGGCTGCCTCTGCAATTTTGTGAGCGGCTGCACGTGTCGCAGCGGCCGCCTGAACCTCTGAAGCCCAGGCACAGGATAGGGTCAGCGTCGAGGAGAGGGTTTAGACGGTTTAGAGTCTAGGGAGCGATACCTCGTTTCGGTAAGTGCTTGCTGCTTGCGGTCTAGAGGGCAGCTCGGGCTTATTGATGTTGGAGCCCTCGTATGAACCGCACAGTTAAGCCAAGTGTACTCTCAAGAAGGACTCATCAGCGACAACCAATCACCAGTTACACCAGTACAGACGTGAAATGACGCGCTGATGGATAGACCAGCAGTCGAAGACCACGATTTGCTCTGCTTTGTATCATTCTGTGGAGGAAGATTGGGAAAGCCGCATGGAAAAGGCTGTGCATGCGTGATGCGACATCCGCCAGCCACCCCGTTGGAGCCCGATGTCAAAGGTCCCCTTGGTGCTGGTAGCCATCATATGCCCAAAGAAAGCAAACTCCAGGGCCTGACTTGAACCGTAAGCCATCCTAAACACCATACTAAACCCCTTTTTCTGTACGCGTTTTGGTTGTGTGCTGGCAAGCTGGACACTAAGCCTTCAACTGTAGACCACGCCAAACCCCACACCCTTAAAGGAGAAAGTCAGGCCTTGTCCTGTACAGCCCGAAGCTGCTCCGGGATGCCCATGGCTGCAAGCGACCGCAGTGCCCGACGCATTTCGAGCACCGTGCTGTGAGCCCCAATAGTCGGGTCACGCTCTCGCAACCTGGACAATCCAGACGAGGCCTCAATGCGTGTTCAGACTACAAAGTGAAACTCTCGAGGCTCAGGATAGTTAAATAAAGTTTCAGGTTCAGGGTTGCTTGGGGGTTTAGGATCTCCCTCTCTCTCTCGGGCCCGGTACAGGACCCCACCTGCACTCGCTGTTGAGGTTTCCGGGGCGGTCGGCAAGAGGACAAGCCACGTAAGGTGGTTTAGCCGTCTTGTACACTGGGGCTCCCCAGCACCACCTATAGGTTCCGTAGACAGAGACAACACAACTGACATAGACAACACAACTGGGTGGTGATCTCTTGCGCTCTCTCTCTCCGTCGAGGTCCCATCACTCGGTCCAAACTGGCTAGTTCAGGGTTTCACTGTCTCTGGTGTTGCATCCCGAGGGTCTAGCAGCCCCAGGCACTTGAGGCTGGTTCATGGTTTGGACTTAAGGGCTTTTGTTGCCTCCTGCTTGGCTAGGACGAGACCGGCCGACAGCTCACCCTTCGCAGCTAATTGAAGATTTGGGATGGGGCGAGGCAGCAGCATTGCTTTGGAATTGAAAGGCCAAGTTTCCAAAAGATTGATTAGGGTTTAGGGTTTAGGCCAAGTTGCCAAAAGTCTTATTGGGCCCAGAGACGTCAAGAACCTCAAAGCCAGCTGGGAGCCGGACTGCGCCGCAAGCAGCGCGCGGACCATCTCCTCGTAGTTCAAAGAGGGTTTTTACAAAAACCCTCTCCTTGTAGCTCAAGGCTTCGGGAACTAATTGAAATCGGAGGTCTCCAGTCGCTGCGGCACGAAATGCCGCAGCGAAGTTGAGACAGCCAGATCGACTAAATACTGAAACATGGAAAGACATCACAAACGCCCTGCACCCCAAACATTACATCCTCCATCGTGGTGCCGTGCAAGCTGAAGCTCAAACCTAGACCCACTTCCTCATGTCGCTGGCAGCGCATGGCCAGGGACCGGAGCTTCCTTAGCAAAGACTCTGCACCGCTTGAGTCTTCCAGTTGAATCTCTGGCAGGCCATTTGCAAAGAACAAGTCGACTTGTCCAGCCCTCCGAACTCACCCAGTCTTGCAAAAGGAGCTCCTGATAACCCGGAGATAGCATTGTTCGCGTTGCTGGGGTTCTAACACACCCAGGTATCTATGCACACACGCACACAGATGTACGTATGTATGTGCATGTACATCAAGACTGTATACATTTGCATGTGTATATTATATAAGTATGCACATATATATATATGTGTGTGTGTGTATATGCCGAACCTTATAAATCCTAAACCCCACATCCTAAACCCCGAGAAAGTTCTCTCATTATACCGATACCGATTCATGCCTCAAGACATGTTCGGTGAAGCTCATGCTCCCTGCTCGGTAGAAGACAACGGTAGCAAAACACATTCCCAAAACACGATCGGAAACATATTCTATCTGCGCCGTCGGGAAAATGTTATATCAAGTTTGTTTTGAAATTGTCTATCTCTCCGTCACTCAAAACCTCAACTTTTTGAGGATTCCTAAAACCAAAAATTTCCTCAACTTCTATTCTATCTGCTGGGGCGCCGCCGTATGTGTTTGTATATACATAGTTACATAATGACCATGGCTTGTGGATGCCCCTCTCTGGGTCAGGTGGTTGGGCTCGCCTTCCTGTGTTTTTGAATGTGGGGACCCCTCGCTATGTCGCTGCGGCGTTAGGTCATGTTGCTGAGAAGTGCAACTTTGGTTTTCACTCCGTTGACCTTGGGTTGTTCCTGCTGCTCCTGAACCCGGGGGGGATCTGAGGTGGTGGTGGTCGCACATGCTATCCTATACTTCGATGTAAGACCAGATAATACAATTGAGATCAATGGCGGCTCAATGTTACATCGCACGTTGCTGCCTTATGCTACATGTGATCTCATGTTGTATTGTATATTAGGTTATGTTGCATTGCACGAAGTTTTTCTGCATTGTGCTTGATTTATTTTATTGCGTTCTATGTGCTCGGCTCTGCTGTACTGTCTTACGAGATGCTGTATTGCGCTATGTGATATGTATGTTAACGATATGCATTCACATGTCATCACGTCACACAAATTCGGTACTGCACCTGCATGCACGTCATCCTAGCAAACCCCAATGCAGAAGCGACGCATGTTCTCTTCACCATATTTATGAAGAAGCATTTCAACAGGGGGCCATGTAGACCCTCTACTAGCCACATCTGCCCAGCGTCCAGTTGTCAGGCTTCGGCTTTTTCTTCCTCGGCTTCGCTTGCAACCGTTGTGCTTACCAGATGCAAAGTACGGTGATGGACCCCAAATCGGATTTGGAAAACATGAACCCTCAAGCTTATGACTGCCCTTCGGCCATACATAACCCTCGACAGCGGGTCCTCGAAGCAATGAGGCAAACAGAACGGTGCTTACTCCAACGGCGATGATCATGGTGGCTGCTGCGTTGGAGCACTAGATTATTGTGTTTTTGTCGTGCAGCATTGCTCTGCCGGCTTTGTCGTGATGGGGGTGTCTGCAGCAATCGTCGTCGAAGCCGAAGGATTGGTAATTAGTCGTACGAGCAGTAGCGTGACATCCCTCGCCACTGCTACTTTTTACTCTGTTCTGCTGCACGGTTTTGACAAGGCGACGAGTGCAAACAACCCAAGTATGCATGCTCACAAATGCGCAAACGACCATACGTGCATGCCTCGAACTAAATGCCCTACTTGGAAAAACGCTTTGACAACTACGTGCTGCACGATGGAACTAACCATGATCAACTGCATGTCCACGACAACCAGCCAAGTGTCAGCTTCGGTGGGCGCGCCACATCCAAGCCTTCGGGTGGAGGCCAAAATCTTACCACCTCGGAAATGCTGGACGGGCTCCAGAGAAAGCATCAACAGCAGCTCACATAAAGTCCTTCCAATGCCCAACATAAGGATCCATACCAGATCCGGCTTGGTCCCCAGATGTGGGCACAACAGGTCCGACGATGGCGATAGTGGCACGCCACATGTACGCATTTAAGTGTTCCGTCGTCTTGCATACTACCCAACCGATGTTTCAGTAGAGCCGGCCTCCTCCCACTCGCCAGACGGCAGCTTCAGAAACCAGGTGTCCACACCGGCAGCTTGGATCATGTGCCGGGCCTTAGTGTCAAATGAAAGCCTGGCTGCCAGGTTTGCCGGTGAGGGGCTTTGTTTGTGTTATGTATAAGTATACAAGGAAAAATACAAAAGAGACATATATGCATATGTGCATATATATATATATATATATATTATGCGTGTGTGTCTCTGTGTGTGTATGTGTATGCGTGTATATGTAGATATATCTGTATGTATTCAAGTAAGTAAAAACATGTATGTATGTATGTATGTATGTATGCATGGATGGACGGACGGAGGGATGGATGGATGGACGCATGCGTGTATGCATGTATTACAGTGAGATCAGGCTCGATTCTGTTGTTATACTACAGAAATGATTTAGCCAACACGATCACGACGCCACCCGGACCCCGACCACATGACTACGTCATCGTGATGATGCTCAAAGTGCTTCTTCATCGGGGCCGTCATGTAATATATATATATATATATATATATATATGTATGTATGTATATGTACACATATATATATAGAGAGAGAGAGAGAGAGAGAGAGTGTGTGTGTGTGTACCAATGTCTACCCATGCACATACATCTGTGTAGAGTATACATGTACGCGTGTGTCGCATAGGTAAATGCATCAACTGGCAGATAGACAGGTAGATAGATAGACAGCTAGATAGATACATGGATAGATGGATAGATAGGCAGACAGATGAACAGACAGACAGAAGATAGACAGATAGATGAATAGACAGGCAGACAAACAGCCAGACAGCTGGCCGCTAGATAGACCGACAGGTAGGTGGGTAAACCGGTGTAAGCAAGCAAACGGATAGACAGATGCAGAGGTGGATACATAGATCGATACATCGCTAGATTCTATACACCGGCACATAAAACACTCGGTGCTGTGTCAAGTTCATGCCAACGTAAGCACAGGAAGCTCTGCGAGATTGTTCGCTTGGCAGGTTGCCACGATATGACGAGTGACTTGTGGGAGAGGGATAGTCAAGGAATTCATGTATGACTGACTGAGTTTGAGTCGATAAGGTCAAATCACACGGTGTTCGACTGTGTTTGCACGCGCGTGCTTTCGTCAACCCCTTGGGGCTGCTACAGGTGCGACTGATCCTTAAACTCCGTCGTGGCCCATAACCACGACCCCCAAATCCGGAAGCCAGAGGACCAATACAGAAGCCTAAACCAAAAAGAACGCGAGAGTTTCGCTGCGCTCCGTGCTGCAAGTACAATAGGGACTCCCAGTACTAATTATTAAGACCCCCACAAACCAATACAGCTCCGAGCCACTGCGATCGCCGATGCGGAATCTCCACGCGGGCCGGCTGGCTCGGAGGGCGTCGGCTCGCTCTGGGGCTCCTGGGGTCGATGCTTCCGGCATGAACCGGAATAGACGCCGAATAAATCATCGGAAGAGGATGGATGACAACGATGACACTGCAAGAACTTGAGGTGATGTTGACGAAAACTAGACAGAGAGTGAGAACAGCGACCGTCCTAGCATGGGTAGTGCTTGCAGGAATCATCGCCGCGGTCGTCACGGGCCTTTTTAATCAACATCAGGATAACGACAGGGTTTGGCAGTTGAGGCCTTTGCAGCTTGAAATGGAGCCACAACCGTGACCGGCGTGAGAGGCAGTCTAAAACTCGTGTTACCATTTCAAAGCTCTGCCTGCCGGGACTATACCCCAGGATATTCTTCCTTTGGTTTCACATGTGGGTCAGACTTTGTATGGTTTCGCGCGAGCTGCGTCAAGCAGCAGACAGCCACTGAGTTTCCTGGCATCCGAGCCCTAAACTTTTTG